GGAGGAGAGGGGAGGGGAGGGGAGGGGAGGGGAGGGAAAGGAGCAATCAGTAGTTTGTTATATACAAATGACAAACACAGAGAGAAAGAAATCAGAGAAACAATCCCATTCATAATAGACTAAACAGTTTTATCCTGGAGTAAATCTAATGAGAATGAGAGACTTGTACAATCCTAATTTTAAGACATTGAATAAGGAAAATACCAGAGGATGGAAAGAAAGACTTCTCATGCTTGGAGGATAGTACTGTGAAAATCGATGTGCAATCTAAAGCAATCTGCAGATTCAACAAGACTCCATCATTTGGAAACACAAACCACAGAGGATAGCCAGAATGATCTTGAACAACAACTAAAATGAACAACCCAAACAAAACAACAACAACTTCTAGATATAATAAGCACTCCTGATTTAAGGGTCAACCACAGAGCCACAGTAACAATAGTATGATATTAGCACCAAAACAGACACATTGATCAATAGAATACAACTGAAGACCCACACGTAAATCCGGAATCTTAAAGTCATTTGATGTTTCACAGAGACCAACAGTACATATTGGAGAAAAGACAAAATATTCAATAAATGGTGCTGGTCAAACTGCATAGCTTCATGTAGAAGAACACAAATAGATCCTTATCTTTCACAATGCCCCAAACTTAGCCCCTAGTGAATCAAGGACTTCAGTATAAGACCCATTACCCTCATCTGTTAGGGGAGAAAGCAGGGAGTACTATTCACTTGGTTTGGAGGAAGAACTTGAACCTCCTTGTTACACTTTGGAGTATCAGCTACCTTCCTGAATAGCTAGCACTGTCAGTTCTTTCTAGCAAACTTGGTGCTTTAGTTAATTCATTTCATGAATCAAATTTATAATGCTTTCATTGGATCAATCATAGTTTGGTCTGCAGCAACAATGCTTGTCTGTGTTTATTATTTATATAAAATCCATAAAGTACTCAAACCAAAGGATCCAAATGCTATCAAATTTATACATTTTCCTACTTTGCCTGTAGCATGTCTAAGTGAAATTGGCCTTTTCCTCTAAGTAGTGAGTGTCAGTAGAAAAAAAAATCACAGTGAATTTAATGCCACTCCCTGATTTTGTTTAGGGCATTTAACATATCTCTGCTTTTCATCATCAATAAAATGTTAACTATTTTGACTTTGCATGTATCTCTTGAATGGGTGCTAAGGGATCTGCTAGAAGGCCGTTTTGGAAGACTAGGGCTCTACTTTCCCTAAGAACTTGTCTCAAGAAAAATCGAAAAGCCATCAACTAGTTTCTATGGTGGAAGCAATGTTAAAGCAACATGATTGTGAATCTGTGGTATGGTTATTATTCATGACTGTTAAACTGGTCTAGAAAGCAAAAGAGCTACACTAAACATTTTGTTCAGCCAGGCCTTGTGCTGAGTGATTATGTAAGTAATGTCCTTAGGCTCTCTACTGGACTAAAACAAGAATGCTCAAGGGGCAAGAATCCAGGAGCATTGTAGGTAAGGGTACAGAAAGGTTGTAGGAGCCAGATGGTCTGGGAGTTTGCTGTGAGATTGTGGCTCATAGAAAGGTCAAAAGCTACACCCAACTGACTGCTTGAACATGTACTCAACAAGGATGATACCAGTAGGCTTGCCCGAGTGGATGGGGGAGGCCCAGGAAGCTCAGCCTTACAGGAAGGCAATGAAGGAATATTGCCTTATATGCAGGCAATGAAGGAATTCTTAGAGAGGAAGAAACAGTCTTTTCCAAGGGAGGAGCACACCAACAGATTATCCAATACCAAGTGTTTAGCCCTGAAAAGGCACATCCAAGTATCTCTGTACTGACTGAGCAGGCTGTATTTGGGAATATATATGCGTATCTATATCTGCATGTAGCCATAACTAACAAAAAAGAAGCATGGATTTGAAAGAGAGCAGGAAAGACATATGGAAGGGATTGGACTGAGAATGGGAAAGGGAGATATGTTATAATTATAATCTGAAAAATAAAAAATAGCCCAGACTTATAATTTTAGTTTCAGCTCAGACTAGCCTTTACTATTATTATTTATTTACATTTCAATCATTGCCTCACCTCATTCTCTCCTCCCACAGTTCCTCATCCGGTTCCTCTTCCCCCTTGCTTCCCAGAGGGTGCTCCCCCCAACCCTACCATACCTCTCCCTTCCCTGGGGCCTCAAGTCTCTCAAGGATTAAGTGCATCTTCTCTCACTGAGACCAGACCAGGTAGACCTCTGCTACATATATGCCAGGGGCCTCAGACCAGCCCTTGTATGCTCCTGGTTGGTGGCTCAGTATCTGTGAGCTACCTAGGGTCTGGATTAGTTGAGACTGTTGGTCTTCCTATGGGGTTGCTCTTTAGTGGGAATATTATCTTTATTTATTGTTGCTTTGTCTCCCTTACAGCCGTGATGTTTAAAGCAAACCCGATATGAGTATGGCATTTTCCTGGGGAGTCGTTCTGCATTGCTTTGTTATTCTTTTGTGGTTATTTACTGTTTGATCCTTTTATTTGTCTCTTGATATCACTGCTGGATCATTTGAATAGCTCTCCTCCATTTATCTCCTCACAACCTGGAGCGACATTTGTTCTATTTCTC